GGTAACGATAACCCTATATGCAGGACAGAAAAGGAGGCACAGATGTATAGAATAGACTTTTGGACTCTGTGGGAGAAGGTGAGGGTGGGATGATCTGAGAGAATAGCATTGAAACATGTATATTATCAAGTGTGAAACAGATCGCCAGCCCAGGCTGGATGCATGAGACAAGTGCTCAGGGCTGGTGCACTGGGAAGACCCAGAGGGATGGGATGGGGAGGGAATTGGGAGGTGGGATCAGGATGGGGAACACATGTAAATCCATGGCTGATTCATGTCGATGTATGGCAAAAACCACTACAATCCTGTAAAGTAATTAGCCTCCAACTAATAAAAATATGTGGGAAAAAAAAAAGGGCAGGCATACTAAACTGGAAAAAATAAATAAATAAATAAATAAATAAAGCAAGTTCTTTGAGATTTAAAAAAATTTTAAATTTTTGTATTCTTCCCTTGCGCACAAATGAGGTTAACTCTGAATCTTAATGTGCAAGAAGCAATTACCTGGGTTAGAAAGACACTATAATCAAAACGGATGACCTTGTACTGCGGTAGTCAAATATGCTGATTTATAGCAATAACATTAAAAAAAAAAAACAACATCTCAGCTTGCCATAAACAAACCCAAAGGAATGAAGAAATAAAATTTTCATTATAAAACAACAGATATCTTGTGCTGTTTGCTCTTTCAGAATATCTAGCTGGAAAAACAGAAGTCTGCTGTACAATTAACTCACTGCAAACCAATTCAAACATAATTGTTTTCCAAGGAGACTTTAAAGCCCAAAATGGAAGTATTCTTTAGTTGGCAACAACAAATCCCCCCCCCACCCCAGTAATCATTTTCTCTTTCAAAATTGTAAAAATTCAAAAACATCTTTGGTCTTCTGCTTCTCTCTTGTTCCTGTTTACCAATACTTTTTCTGTTCTTAAATTTCAATGACTGAACACTATTATGAACATAAATGAATCAAATATTGTAAAGTATAATATCTCACCACTTTGAAAGCTCTTGCAGGAGCAGGTAAAGAATTGGTTTCTTCTAAGTATTTATCCCAAGAAAAATGTTTCACATTTGGATAACCTAAGAATGAAAACAGTAAATCCTATCAGGTTTAACCAAAATGATAGTGACAACCACATGCAGGCCTATAAAATTATGAGATATTGTTATCATTATAATGAAAAAAAGCATGCTCATATTACACAAAACAACTTAAAACTGATTACACATTTGGAACCACATGTAATAATGCAGTAGTTTTCATCTAGATCATGATTTCTCTATTAACTTTTAAATGAGAATATATATAATTTGCATTCTCAAGATAGTCTTAAAACACAAGATATACACAAACACACAAATATAAATACCCTTTAATCTAGAAATTTTACTTCTATTAATTTAGGAAGAATCTCATCTGTGTGTACAAAGAAAATGTATCATTTGTAAATGTGAAAATGTAAAAATCAGTTAAATGACCATCAATATAGAAATGTGCAAATATATATATATACACATACACACACATAAATATTGTAAATGTAAAACAGAAAGCATTTAATAAAAAGAATGAGGCAGGTTTATATATACACCAATATGTGAAATATTCCAGACAATCATATTATTAGGCCAAACAAATAAGTTAAAATAAATCATGGAACAGTATTAATAGAATGTATAATAACAACATCCTTCCTCCATCTCACTCTCCTGTTTCCTCCGGAGTCCAAAGCCCCTTAGGGAGACATGAGTAGTAATCAGGGTTGGCTCAGTAGGGGAGGAAGCTGGCTACTTTATGCAGTCCTCTTTATGGCTACTTTATGTAGTCCTTACTGATAAAGTAAGTAAATATACTGGAGAAGAGAAGCAAGATTTCTCACTGACTATAAATATGAAAAGTGAAAAACTAGAATGAATTCGGTGGTGTTAGATATGAACTGCAGCTAATGGTATACATTCATGGTTTTCAATATCTATAAATGGACATAGAAATAAACAAATTTTTATATATATTTACTTAACCATATGTCCCCTGAAAGGCCAACAGCAGCATTAGTTCAGTAGCAGTGAGCACATCGAGTGTCCAGATCTTAGTGTCTACAAATCATTCTCTACAAAAATAAACCATAGAGTCTGGGAGAAATGGGTGGTGTCAAGGTTGGGTCAGGGAAAACACAAGATAAGCCCAGCTGTGCCAGAAAATAGGAAATTTCTCCAAAAAAATAATAAAAACATGTCAAAAGGACACAGAAACCAGTCTAAAGGGTTTCCCTCTGGCCAAACGTGAGAAAATCTGAACATGAAAATAAACAATGTTAGTAATGGAATATAAGCCACTGATGATAATAGTATTATTTGGGTCCATGTTGATGTTAATAAAATGAATGCATAAATAGGAAGACGAGAAAGCTATTTTTTGCAGAAGTATGTCATCTAATTATGTACAACAAAAGACTGAATAAGAAAAATCACCATTTAGCAACTATCAGAATATTCATTCACACTAGAAATATCAACAGATGCTGAAACTAGGACGCGACACGGGACCAAAGTGCAGGATATTTATACAATGTCAAAGTGTCTTCTCAAAATCCTTAATAATTACAGACAAAAAACCCCCTACATCCACGGATAAACCCAGTAACTACCATTTTGATCAATCACTGGTAAAAACCAACCAATGATGAGATAAACGGACCTCAAGTGGCACAGGAGATGATCCAATGAGAACACGGTACTGCTTCTGTGATATTCCTGCCAAGATGCACACCGTGGGTCTAATTACCGAAAAGTACCCCTCATGTTCAAACTAAGGAACATTCTACAAAATGACCGATTTGTAATTCTTAAACATATGGAAGTTATAAAAGTCAAGGACAGCATATTGAAGGAGACCAAAGAAATATGACAACTGTAATATGCCATCGTTGTGCTAGAAGTGACATCCTTGATACAACTGACAAATGTGGATGGGTCTCTGATTCAAGGTTATAAAAATGAGCTATTTACTGTTCTTACAACTTCTCTGTACATTTTAAAATGTTTCAGAATAAAAGTTTGAAAGAGTAAATATGCAAACATTTCCAAGCAGTCAACATTTTACAGCGCATTTTTAAGGTATATACCTTGCAGAATTTAAACAACATTAAAGCTGACTCTGCATGCATGCACGTATATGTGCGCTCGGTTCCTTGGTTGTGTCCAGCTCTTTGTGACCCCGTGGACTGCAATCCACCAGGCTCCTCTGTCCATGGGACTTCCCAGGCAAGAATACTGGAGTGGATTGCCATTTCCTCCTCCAGGGGATCTTCCCAAACCAGGGGTCGAACCTGCGTCTCTTACATTTCCTGTATTGACAGGTGGGTTCTTCACCACTGTGCCACTTGGGAAGCCCTGCATGTATGTGTATACAGAGGCAAAAAAGGTTTCTCTGCAAAGAGATAATAATCACCTTTTAAGCCATTAAGAGAAAGAACAGTGGTTATCTCTAATTGCACTCTAAACTCATCTAAAGCACATCTCTAAACTCATCTAAGCACATCTAAATGGATAATTTGGTAATTCAAAAATAAAAATCATTTTAAAAGACATGAAGACTTTAATTTTGGAGAAAGAACAGTAGGTGTACAAAGGTTAAAAAAGAACATGAATATGGAGTAGCTGGCAGGGCTGCTTATGAGACTGATTTACAAAGAAGAAGAGCAACGGCCTGGGGAGACAGGTGACTAACATCCTTTCTTTTCATAGAGAAGATGTGAGACACAAGCCAGGAATCTGCCCTTAGAGAAAAGGGTCCAGAGAAAGGGCATCTTGTTTGCCAAGGATCCAAAGAGCAGAGTAACATCAGCACAGGCCTTGCACACCAGTCTTTATCTGGAATGTCTTTACTTTTGTTTTTTTTACTTTTTTAATTGGTGTGATAAAATATGTATCACACAAAATTTACGCGTTTAACCATCTTCATGTGTTACAGTTAGTGGCATCAATTATATTCACCCTGCCCTGTGTTTGGTAGTTTTTCACATGCAATTTTGTATTTTTTAATTTTGCCAAAAAGCTACATCCTTTCTCTGCTACTGAATTATACAAGTCCATGAAAAGAGACAGAAGACTTGGTAATCTGCCTCACATCAGAAGTCAGTAATGATATCTCACACACCCCTTCCCAGGCTGTGAAGACATAGCCAGGAACCTGCTGTTCACTGGCCCTGTTAATTTAACAGATCCCTGCGTGCATGCTAAGTCACTTCAGTCTTGTCCAACTCTTTGCAACCCCATGGACTGTGGCCCACCAGGCTCCTCTGTCCAAGGAATTCTCCAGGCAAGAATACTGGAGTGGGTTGCCAATGATGAACAAAAGGATGGTAAGGAAAAAAAGAAAAAGATCAATATCAATCGCAAAGTCCAAAAGAATCTGTATAATATAATTCAGACGGTGACAGTGGCAGTCACGATTCATTGGCTCCTAATATTATGTAAATCCCAGAACCTAGGAGAGCTGAGTGGGGTCTTCCAGGCAGCAGCACATTTGAGCTACCAAACCATTTAATATCTTACTTTAACACTACATAGTTTATGCAAATATTCTTCAGCTTAGCTCTGTAAAGCAGTAAAGAACAGGAGTTTTCATCCCTGAACATAGAAGAAAAGGCAGGAGGTAGAAGGGACTGGCCTTGCCCATCACAGGAACGGCTGATCCCGAGTGAGTCAATGATCAGGCGCTAACTGAGAAGCAGTTATCAAGGAACTAGGGACAAGCTTGAAAACAACGCGAGCTGCCAGAGCAGAATGAGACAAGGATTTGAAGCTCCAAGCTGAGTCTCTGTTGCTTACATGCTGAGGGCAACATCCACGCAACAGCTCCTAACATACCAAGGAGGCATCCTTTCCCCATGACAAGGACAGTTTTCATTACTCACAGGTGTACCCACAAAAAGCCACACACACCACAGTGATGCTCTGTATGAGCTGACCACCCTATCATTTCATACCTGCAGTGCGACGGCACGTTAAATAGTGACATGCTCAAAAATTCAATGTCTGATGATGAAGTCACAGAATGTTCTTCAGCACATAAAAGTAAACTCAAATTGACATAAATGACAAACAGCAGACACATAATCAACACAAACCTGGAGGAGTAATGAGGGTTCTTCGATGTTCTTTACACCAACCAACTGGATGAATGTGTGGACTAGAGGCTTCACACCTGTAAGTTATAGAAGTTTAAAAATGGTAATTAGGAAAAATTCTCAAATACCAGTAAAAGTTAAAAAAAAAAAAAGTCAGTGATTGTGAACATTTTACACCAAGTTCTACCTTTTCACAATCTATCTAATTTGGGAAAACACGGCTAAACCAAAGAATTTTTCACTCTTCCAACATATTAGTACCAACGAGATTTCTATTAGATACATAACATACAAAACTGACACCAGGCAAATAGCTTTTGTTCACACACAAGTGGTGTTATATTCTACAACTGCAAATATAGCAAATGTAAAGATAATGTCATTAAAATTTGGAATTTCCATTTAGGAAAATCATTTGGAAAAATAAACATGTATATAAATAGCATATACACAGGCAAGCTAAAATTATTTCAGTATTTCTAAGGACAAATATACAACATCAGGAAGACCAATTACCCTCAAAAAGCAAACACGCTCTCTCTATTTCCCATTAGAATGGGAGAGACCAGGTATTAAGATGGGGTGTTTCTTTTCCTCAACTCTTCTCTTTGTCATCTTTACTTCAGTCAAGTATATGCTTTGCCAAGGCCTCTTTACCAGTATGCACATCTGATTCCTTGCTCCTAATCAAACTTGTTCCATATAGTCCTCATCCCAAATGACACCCAACTCCAGCACTCTTGCCTGGAAAATCCCATGGATGGAGGAGCCTGGTGGGCTACAGTCCATGGGGTCGCTAAGAGTCGGACATGACTGAGCGACTTCGCTTTCACTTTTCACTTTCACGCACTGGAGAAGGAAATGGCAACCGACTCCAGTGTTCTTGCCTGGAGAATCCCAGGGATGGGGGAGCCTGGTGGGGTGCCGTCTATGGGGTTGCACAAGAGTCAGACACGGCTGAAGCAACTTAGCAGCAGCAGCAGCAACATGCAACACGCTTCATTCATTCATTCACTCACCCATTCATTGAAAGGTTGAGTGTCTATCATGTGCCAGACACTGGGAAAGGCACTGAGGATACAGCAGCAAATAAAAGGTATACCAACTTTCAGCCTCTTGGAGCTCACAGTATAGTGGGAAAAGAGGAAATTAATTAACAAACAAAATGTATATGCTGGGGGCAAAACGCTATGCAAAGAATTGGAATAAAAATGTAGAGCGTAACAGTGGTAAGATACTCCTTCAAAACACTTAGTCAAGATGACTTCTTAAATAAGATGACATCTGAAAAGGGTGAAGAGAGGACTGAGGCACTCAAATATATAAAGGAAAGCCTTCTATGCTGAGGGGATAGCAAGTACAGATGCCTTGTTAAGAGGAGATATCAAGCAGAACTGTGTCAGGAATGGACTGAGAAAAGCAGAGAACAGGAAATCAAGAGGAGCCATTAGGCCACGGTAAGGTCTTGGAATCTTAAGAGTAAAATGATGCTTACTAGAACATTTTGTGAAAGGTTTTAGGCAGAAGAGTGGCATAATCTGATTTATGTTATAAAGTAATTATTCTGACTGCTTTGCAGATAATAAACCACATTTGGGAAGGAGACAAAAGGCTGCTGGCAGGTTTTTGCCAGCATTGGAGAGGGTAACCTGAACCAGAGTGCTGGTGGTGAGGATAATAGGAAGTGATTGTATATTTAGGTCAATGTTCTAAAGGAAGAATCCACTGGATGAGCTGATAGATTTGACGCAGAGTAGGAGTGAAGGGAAGTCCAGAACATTCCAAGGCTTTGGGCATGGGCACTAGAAGATGGATGTTACCATTTTTTGAGACAGGAAGACTGCAAGCACAGCCTGACATTCCAAATAGTGAAGGAAGAGATCTGATATTAACATGTTTAACAAGCAGGTAAAGAAGTAGATCATGAGCACAAAAATTTGGAATTTAAGGGCACGATCAAGGCTAAAAACACACATTTAGGAGTCATCGGCAACTAGGATGGTGTTTAAAGCCACAAGCAGAGATGTGACCACCCAGAAAATGAGTATAGAGGACAGAAAGGAAAAGGCGAAGAAGTCCAAGAAACAATGGTAAAGTAAGAGAGAGAGAGAAAGACGAAATCAACTGGGTCAAATGCTGCTGCTCGATCAAAGAAGAGAAAAAGCAAGAGCTGATCACTGGATTTACCAATGTAAAGGTCACTGGCATACTTGACGAGAGCTGCTGCAGTGGAGCTGGGCATGAGAAAGGGCAAAACCCTGAACAGAATGGGTTTAGGAGAAAATGTTGGGAAATGAGCATAGCTAGCTCAGAAAACACATTTAAGGAGTTCTGTTTTAAAAAGAAGCAGAGAAATGAGACGTTAGATAGAAAAAAAAGAATGCTATTTTTTTTTTTTTTAAAGCTGGGAAATATTTAGGGGACGCTGGGTGAGGCATATATGGAAATCTCAGTACACTTTAATGCCCAATCCCCTCAGATGCATTGTTTTAAACTGTATAAGCAAAACTACAGATCTTGATTGTCCAGTTATACTATTCTTTCCTGGACAATCATTTGGCTATGGATCATTAGTAATGATGCAGCCTTTATTTTAGGGAAATTTTTATGTTATTCTAGGGAAGACTCTTAATGGCTCCTTAAAAATGAAAAAATAACAAGTATGTAATACTTCTTTTATTTTTTTTCAACTTAAGGCAACTATCAAGTACTTCTAATTATGTCAGATTCATGATGATTAAAGTAAAAGCATCAGACACAATTCTGTTTATTGGATTTCTCCATAAATCACAAGTAAAGAAAACACTGCAGCATATTTTGACCACTTGTTCCTGTGCAGCCAGAATCTCATATAAGGTTTTAGTATTATTTAAATATTCATCAAAGTCACCATTTAAAATAAACAAAGAAGCTGTCTCAATTATGAAAATAAATGTAGCCTCATTTTTATCTAGTTGACTTACAGCGCCTCTATAAACAAACAATACTTCCTTCAGAAATGGGAAGGCTGTGAAATTATTTGTTACTATTGAAACACAAGTCATCTCTTAGTCCCATCTAGTGTTCAAAAGCAGAAATGTAACCAAGAAGAAATACAATGAAGAACAACTAATGGTGACATGTTTGGCCAACTGCTGTTCCTTGTGCCTTTCCTTTCTTTCTTCGGGGTTTTTATGTGTATTGTTAAGAAAGTCCATTTCAAAACAATTTTTAAGTCCATTTCACAAGTAAGTACAAATTATTTATGAAGGCTGCTAAGACCCAAATCAGACCTAGATTGGTAGATAATAACAGAAATAAGAATTCATGAAGAACCCACACTTGTCATATAAAGTGAGCAAACATTAAGACCCTCATTTTATGGAAACACTGAGAGGTTAAGTGATTTCAGGTTGAAGGAAAAGGGCCCTGATTTCATGTCACAGACAAAAGCTAAACAAAACTAATGCGCACACACTGGGCTCCCCAGATCTCGGCAGAGTCAAACAAGAACATTTCAAGATGCTCACTTAAGGAACACATCAAAGTCTTCATTTCAAGCAATAATGGTTTCGATTTCTTGAAGAAATGCAACACACTTGGTCTCTCCCACTCCCTAAATCCAGCACATGATGACTGCGATTTCCTTCCTGGTGCCTGCTTTCCCAGCTCCCGCTCTGCGCTAACTCTTCAGGGCTTCCATCCCTCTGTTTTTACCAAGCCCCAGACCTCATCCCACCGAGTCATCTCGTTCTCCTTTTCATCCTTAATTCATTTCCAAGCCCATTCCCTACAGAGGCTGTTTTCAATATTCATAATTCGCTTCAAGCATAAAACCTGATTTTCACTAACAAGGTGACTACCAGGAAGAGACAAGGGGGGCCCTCTCGTCACCCCAACATCAGTGTTCCTTTCCTGTCTTCACTCTCTCCACACTGAGACAGAAGAAAGCTCGTTTCTCCCCACGGCGAGTCCTGCTCCTACGGGACCGGGGTCCTCAAGAATCCAGCCTCATGTCTCCACTCTCCCTCAGCAGCGGCTTCTTTCCTTCAGCCTAAAGCCAAGCTCAACACCTGAGGGGTTATTCCCTCTGAGACAATAACCCACTTCCACCTTCAGGGCTAGACTTCTCTGCCCACGTGCCTTACGGACATCTTTCAGTCAGTTCACTTCAGTTGCTCAGTCGTGTGCGGCTCTTTCTTGCAACCCCATGGACTGCAGCACCCCAGGCCTCCCTGTCCATCACCAGCTCCCAGAGCTTGCTCAAACTCATGTCTGTCAAGTCGGTGATGCCATCCAACCATCTCATCCTTTGTCGTCCCCTTCTCCTCCTGGCTTCAATCATTCCCAGCATCAGAGTCTTTTCCAAAGAGTCAGTTCTACGCATAACGGCCATCTCTTTAACATTTTGCAAATGGGTATCTGTTCCTGAAATTCTGACTTTAATCCTCTCAACATCTTGTGAGATAGGGACTATTAACCCTTTTTGCAAACGGGGCACCTAAAGCTTAGAAGGATTAAGTCACTTACTAAATATCAAGGCTGCCACACCCCAAACATATCCCTGTTAGCCCCATGGACTTAAACATAAGTAAGTGCTTTCCTTGGCCAGGAATATTTCATCCCAACTTCTAAGTACTAGCTCCTATCATTCTTTATGAGCCAGTTCAAATTCCATATCCCCAGGAAGATCTTTCTGAGAAACCTCTAGTGAGTCAGTCAGTCCTTCCTTCCATGGGCCACGCAGACAGCAAGCAGCTGGTTCTGATAAGTAAGCACTAAGCACCACACACTCTGCACCCAAGACAGAGGTGTGTTTCTCTCTGTTCCCAGACACGGAGCCTCTCAAGACTGAAGTGCAGGGGTCCCTAGGTCCCGTCATCTCTGTGGCTCACCACCACCAAGGGGTGTTTCTCAAATATAATGGTTGATGACACACACACTGCTCTGAGAAACTGACAACATGATGCAAACTTTTCAACATTATTTGGGGAGACACATAAAATTACTATTACTCTTAATGTATACTACTAGTATACATTAGTATACAACTACTAGTAACAAAAGCAGAGAGAAAACCCAGAGGTAAACCAATTTTTATTCCAAAATACGTATACTATTTGCTCTCATTAGAAACTACTACAACCCTACATAAATTTAAATCCCAAACAGCATTTCTCTTTGAAAGGAAGAAATGTTTTACTGCAATTAAACATGCAGTACCACAAATATGTGTGTGTGTGTGTGTGTGTGAGAGTACATGTATGCACATGCGCATTCAAGCACACTTTCAAATTCCCACTAAGGTAAAAACAGATAAGATCACTGCCCAATTCAAAGGAAAAAAAAATAATCTCATTTTCAAACTATTTTAAATTGGGAAAGCAATCCAATTTGTAACCTCAATTACATACCTAAGTAACTAATTTATGCAGATAAAGACCATTCCAAAATTCAAAGATCAAAGAACATAATATTTAATAAGGTTGGAGAAATTCCAGTGCACTTAAGTAATTTTCAATATGCGTTAATTGCATATCGAGGAAGAGGACACACTGTTATTCTTTTTCTGACAATTAACAAAATGTAACTTCAACAGTTAGAAGTATAAGTCTATCCTCAAAGTACATTCCATTCTAAAAATAATTTGGTTGGGCTCATAAGAGAGCAAAATCATTGCTGAAAAAGATCAATTTTTCCCCCTGCTTTTTCTAATAAGAAACCAGGATGCTTCCTATTTCCTAGGCATTTGGCATCAAAGAAAAATGTAATACATTCTGCTAGACTTTCTCATTACTTTTTTTTTTCCCCCAGAAGAATGAATGCTTTTAAAGGAAATACATATTATGTCAAATAAGGAACCTACACTTTTAAAACCTATAATACTCATAGGACTACAAAAATAACTGAAACATTCACCCACTGTGTTTAAATCAGGCAAAAGCTGTTTTTAAAAAATTCTCCCTGAAGCAATAAGAACTCTAAAAGCAAAAAGCTCTCATTTCAACAGATTCTAATAAAGTATCATTTATTAATAAAAGGACTGGGTCCCAATTGTCATGTTAGTACTGCCATCAACATAGCATATCAAACACAGGAGGGAGAGAAATATGTTCCACCTAGGACAGATTCCATTATCTCTAAATTCACAGTTTTCTCATCTACTCACTCATTCAAGACAGGTATGGATAGTTTTAAATGAAACAAAAACCACCAGTTTGCAGAAAATATGAGAAAGAGAAGAACACGGTAAGCAATACAATGAGGATTCAATCAGCAAATCCAGGCTGTGGGAGAGTCAACAGGACAAACAACCTGGTTTCTTAAACAAAAGTTAGAGGGGGAAGAAAAGGATGAAGGAATAGGAAACTATAAATTAAAAGAGATCAAGAGAAACCTCAAAGCACTCATAAAATGCGCGCCCTATTTGGACCAAAAGCTAATAAACCAAGACAGTTGGGGGATAATGTTTTAGTATGTTAGTGACATGATGCTATTTAGATATATTTGAAAAAAGAAAAAGAAGTTCTACCTTTAGAAGAGACATATTCAGACATGAAATGTTATGGAATCTGGAAATCTACTTCAAAACGGTCCTGGAGTTGGGATTTTAGAGCAGAAAAACACCGGAAACAAGACTGGTGTGTATTGATAACTGCTGGCAGTAGGTAACGCCTGCAGGAGGTCACTCTACTGTTCTAAGTTTGTATACACCTGAAATGGTTTGTATTTCAGTAACAAATTTGATTGCAAACTGAATAAAAAGATATCCTATGAGGAAAATAATGCTTTGCAGAAAAAAAGCTGGGTAAAACTTACTATAATATTCAAAAGTACTTGATTCTATGTGATGTGATCATGGAACTACTTTAAAAAACTCTGTGAAAACCATACGTAAAATATAATTCAGATTTTTATAATTCATCTTTTAAAAGTCTAAACAGCAAATGGCTTTCAACGTCTCTCCTGTTTTAAAACAACGCAAGTAAAACTGATGACTGTGTAAGAACCCAATCCGAGAAGTAATGGAAATTATTAATGGCTCTACTGAATATTTAGCTATACACACACTAAAAAGGTCAAGAAACAAGTTTTCCTAAAACTGAGCTACATTTATATAAATTAACAGCCATTTGCTACTGCAACATTAGCCATATTTTATAAAGATAACTGTCACTTCTCAATGCAAGTATTATCCAGAAGGAACTAAACCATAAAGAAATGCCTTTCACCAGCAAACTATAGTTTCACTAGTGAACATGAATTAGGTATGAAAAATCATTATTTCAACTGCCTAATCAAAATCTTATGGCTTTACTATAATCCTTTCATGATTATATAATTTTATAATTATGTTGTTCCTACCACTTTATGTATAATATAGCCAAAACCCTTAAGGGTTAAAAAAATATTCCTCAATTAATAATTTGTATTGTCATTATAAAGAGTAAAATTAGCTACTGTGCATGAAAATATGAAAGAAAGATTAAAATATTTTCCTAAGAAATCAGAGACGACACGCCAGATGAGGGGGGACGTGTGAGGCTGTGTGTGCACTCAGGTGTGAGTGTCTCTTGGGAGTCTGGTACGAATTGTGCTTACATAGGAGGTAGTCAACTAAAATACAAATCACAAAGTAGATCTAAAGGATGTTATTTAAAAACACGTGCCATATGGAACAGGTAAAAAGTTAAAAATCTGAAATGAGAAAGAGCAGGACAGAATACTGTTATTTGTGTTATCAGCTTTGCATTATTGCTGGTTTTAAATAAGTACTTGAATAAACATCAGTTAGAAAATGCACAGAGCAATTGAAAAATGTCTCACCAATAGTCATAGCTCTCATCCCAGTTGTCAAAATGTACAAGGAAACGATTGTCCACCATATCTGTTACCGTAGCAACACAGATGAATGCAGGGTTCTTTTTGTCTACAGCTTCAAGCTTCATTCCAACTCGAAAGCCTGATGGGATCACTGTCTATGAAATATACAGATTTAATTAGGGATAAGCACACACTTAACAGCAAGGACCTGTACCCTCTCTGCACCCCCGCTTGAAATCCTGGCATCCATCAGCTGCATTCACATAATTTAAAAATCACGGTCCAGTTTTGCAGCAGAGTTGCTTTCCAAGAAGCGGCAATAAGAAAAATGCCCCATTGCTACATCCAATTAATCGTCTGGACCTTTAAAGCTAACACACATACAACCTTGAAAAGTTTACTTAATATGTGTCTTGGTACTTTAGATGACTATGCTAGTTAGGCAAGTTTTATGTACTGTATAGTTTACTTTCAGTTTCTCTCTTCCTTTATTACAGACTTAACAATGAAAATTATTTCATACAAAATATGTACATAATCAAGTTAAAAATGTGTGTAAGTCAGTACAAATTCACTCCCACTTCTGAAAAATCTTTTGAAAGGGTACTCTACTAAAAGTAGGCCATCTTCCTATATGAAATGCTGGAAATTATTAAAACTTTGATTCAACAATACAGATGTTATTCACAATAGCACCCAAAGATCTGGCTGTTAATACATAGAGCCATTCAAAATAGCTTGTAATATAAGGAAATGCACAGATTATTGGCCATCTGGGACATGAAACGAAAAACAATAAAAATTCAGTCAGACTCAGTACTTGAAATGCTGTGGATGTAAACATTCCTCACAATATTTCATGAAGAAATATATCCTAACCTCAGAGAAGTACTTGGATATCAGTAGTATCAATCACAACATACTACACGTCATTTCTGCCCTTCAGAAAAAATCCTTCTTTCCAGACTGAACATACAGACACTCTTCTCATTACTTTAAGCAAAATAGATGCTCTCTTTTTACTATAATTATACAGCTATCGTTACAAAAATGCGGACAGACATGTATCTGAATATGTCAAGAATGAAGTCCTGTCTGAGTCGAAGGATCAGGCACTAATGCTACACAGATACTGTTACTATATATTTAAGCCCTGGACTTCTGTATCAGACCATAAACATTTGAGTATTCTGAGGTAGAGAAATCTAGAAATACAAAAATTCATTATAATCCAAACACATGGCCCAAGATTCAGTTTTGTGCTAGCAATGCACAGAATTTAAGATGATGGTCAGTGGCTCAAATACCTGCCTGAACTCATCATCAGAGAACCAGACAAGGATTAGGAAACTTGGAGCTATGACGGCAAGCCGGTCGCTGAGTTTTCCACCTAACTGGCCTCCCTCATCTTGAAGGAGAATGCCGACTGACTATGCAGCATGGACATCTCAGCAATTAAGCTATCTTCTCAATTAAGATATTTAAAAATAATAATCTGGCTCATTATCTCTATTAATTACCTAAATGCATGCACATGCACACACACCCCCTCCAGTTCTCTAACTCAAGCTGGCCTATGTTTAATTTGATTAGAGAAAGTTTCAGCCATGAGACTTGTTGCCCTCAAAACACTTGGATGATGTCATTTCCCAAGGAGAGAGCATGCAGGCTAGGTGAGAAGGGTTTCTCTTCCTGATATCTGGAGGGAATCCCTAGTGAAACATGACGGCCTCTCTCCAGACTCTCACCCACTGTCGCCTAACTGGGGAATTTGGAAGGAGGAAGTGGTCACACCATTAAGCTGGCCTACAGGGCATATAGTTTCCACTCTGCTCCTTAGGCGCAAGCTCTGTACTGCAAAATGGTAGTCTGCCCTGGTCCAGTGCCCATGGGCTAGAGTGGTGAGGTTGGAAGGGCCAGTAAATCTCTAACTCCAGGGCTCAGAATCAAGAGACTCATTTGTCAGCAAATATGGGCCACGCATGTTCTCCATCTGAGCTCTCATCAACTGTAAAGGCGGGATTCTGGCTTCCACCTGCTTATCCTCTATTCTTTACAATTAGATCAAAAGTTGATTAGGATAGAACATTGTAACATAGCAGGCCTCCTCAGAGATGCCCATAGCTTAAGAAGCAGAAAATACAAACACATCCGGACTGTGCTTCTGTTAACACTGCAAAAAAGAGACAGAAGCTGGAGAGAAGGTTTAAATGATAGTCTCTAGCATACAAATTCAAATAGGGTTACATTCATCTCACTATAGGAATCCTATCTGAACAGCACTCCTAAAATCAAGTGACCATAACCATAAAATGTCCGTCAATTTAATTTGCTTAGGCACCTTAATTGTAAAGTATACCTAGGTTTGATACTATATTGCCTTTTACTATTTAATTTTAAAAAATGACAGCCATGATATAGTTAAAAACAGATATTTATTCATGGTAATTTTTAATTTTAAAGCTTAAGAGCACCTTATTTACCAAAGCAATAACATTTATTATAGTTTCTTGTTATCACTTGTAATTTATCAAAGGAAATACTCAAAAGCCACTTTCTGTGAAAGAAAAAGTATCTTGGAGGTACTTACTATATTCTGATTTTCAAATAATGACTTGGGAGCAGCCTGAGCTTTGCATGTCTTGAGATAGGTCTGCCAATTAAATTCTTCTTCTTTATATCCTAGGTCCGCACATATAAAGAAACAGTAAAATACCAAAATACTTCATACTTAGCTTTCCATTCTTACTTTTATCTGTTAGTTCCACCTTGCCAAATTCAGGCCTTCAGTTGTTTTTTTAAAATGGATAGTATTTAACTCATAATTAGTATCTAAGGATTTTTATACACAGGGTATTTATTTGCAACTAATTGTATTATTTTCTCAATTCCGAATGAATGGTAATGGAAGAAAGGAAAAGGTATGAGGAGGCAAATACACATTGTCCTCAAATGGACTTCTTTTCATTACCAGACCATTTCTATCAGTATTTAGGTAGACTTCATTAGCAGTGTGCTACAGTAGTTGAGTTCTCTGTTTTTCCCTCACTCATTCTATTTTGGGAGACTAACTTGTAGGAACAGTGGGAAGCTGGAAAAAATGGTACTACAAGAGATAAAATCTTTCTGGCCTGTCACCAGAAGAATGACAATTCAAGATTCATGAAGTGAGCATGTTGGCCAACTATAATAATGGAAATGTCCTTTCCTTAGTTTTCACCATTTCATGTTTAACACTGGTAAAGCCAACATTTCCTTTAAAAAGGAAATTGGGTATTTAATTTTATCTACTCAGGTCCTCTTTTCTACTTCCATCAAAGTCCAGAAGGTGGTGTGAAAACAAAAACAATTCAACACATATGAGGCCAATTTATACAAAGGCTTACAGATTTTCTTTTTCATCCTTCTCTTTTCTAGGTGTTTTTATTCAATCCTTCAGTTATCTGAAAATACCACTCTGCTATTAATTTTTCACTTAAAACCAAAAGATGGCTTGTCCATTAACACCCAATAACCCACCTTACCCCAGCTAAAAAAAAAACTCAATAATCCTGATGTAGCAGCCAGTGAAGCTGCTCAGTTGCGTCCAGCTCTTTGCGATCCCATAGACTGCAGGCTGCCAGGCTCCTCCATCCATGGACTTTTCCAGGCAAGAGTGCTGGAGTGGGTTGCCATTTCCTTCTCCAGGGGATCTTCCCAACCCAGGGATCAAACCCAGGTCTCCCGCATTTCAGGCAGACGCTTTACCATCTAAGCTACCAGGGAAGCCCCAATAATTCTGAGACAGACCAAAAATATCATACTGGTAACCTGGTTCTTTCATATCAAGCAAACAATACTGAACGCAACATGAAAAGAAAGGAAGTAAGATATTATTAAATACCCTAGGGATGAACTGAAAAAGATACAATCTGTTATTCTTGGCTCTTTCGTAAACATGAAATAGGCAAAATCATTGGCAGACTGTAATATAAAAATTTAATAATAAAAGAGTAATCACTATCAGTTCAGCCCTCACCCAAACTGCTTTCAGTGTTACAGTCTCCTTTCCAATCTCTTAAATATTAAGATAAGTTCAAAGCATAATTTCTCAAGGTTTTTTACTTACTGAAATGTCAGTAAACACACTTAGTTATGTAAACAGATTATAAATAATTTTGCAATCAGTTATTTCAAGACAGTATGTGTGTATGTGTTGTGTGTGTGTGTGTGTGTGTGTGTATGTATGAGATAGAAATTTGTAGCTAAAATCTATAGTCAAAGTATCAAACAAATGTCATGTGACATGCAAATAAGTACATGGACATAGTTTATTCTCTTAAGTAGGGTTCTATTTTTTAAATTTCTTTCACTTTAGAAAACATCTTTCATCATGAACAATAAGCTTAAACTTGGGCCCACCTGATTAATAAACATTTCTCATCATGAACAATAAGCTTAAATTTCGGCCCACCTGAATAACCACAAAGTCTGAATTCTCAAAAATCTAAATTACAATATAAGAAAATAAGTGTTTTCAGAATATAAAATATGAAATTAAAAAGTGACAATACCTTTTGGAGGATGGAGTTTATGGCCAGTTTTCTCACACCACCCAACTGGGTGGATATCCAGAGCATCAGCATTTACCCAGAAGTCATAACAATCAGAGTATCCATCAAAGTGCAGCTTTATCCTGTATCCACAAACCTGTAATAGGCAAAGAACAGAATATTTGTGCACATGTATAAAAATAAATTAACATGGACCTCAAGTATGATATGGATTATATTAAAGCACCATTGCTAACAGCCACAAAAACAAGTGAACAAAATAACAAAATCTAAAGGCAAAATTTATTTCTTTGGAAAGAGCTGAGCTAGGGGTTCCAGCCTCATCCCTAGTTCTGTTAGAAGCACACAGATCTGGGTGAAGAATAATTCTCCCACATAGACAAGTCCCCCTCTTTATCCCTGCGTTGTACACGCGCAGGGCGCGCAGCTCCCGCAGGGGCCCAGAGTGGGTGCCCTATCATGCACTGGCTCAGGGCGGGCTCTCCGTCCTCTACAAAGCTCCACACGGCGATATCTGGCCAGACACGTGCAGACACGGGGAGCAGGCAACAGTCTCCTTCCCCCAGTAGCAGAGCCGGGAGAAAGAAGAGACTCCCCAGTTCACACTTAGATGAAACAGGATCCCTGGAACGTGGTGAGAATTCACTCCATGTAACCCATGTCCAACCCTGAGGTCACACATCTGCTTAAATGAGGGCGGCATGTGGGGGAGTTCTAAGTTAAAAAGTCACATGGGTCTATGGAGCCTCTGCCAGGTCACGCTTGGCACTAGGCTGGCAAAAGTTCAGCCTCTCCATCTTCTTTCCATTAGCACAGCAGATGGGTATAAGACCACTTATAAACAAAGAACTTATAAACTTTCTTATAAACAAAGAACAAACTTCTTATAAGAACACTAAGTCACTGAAGGAAAACTACAAGCAAAACTAATACACAAGATCATCTGATTCTTTGAGGAAAATTTTAAAAGATACCTCCCCCAACTCAAGGGAGAGAACAAGGAAATAAGTACATAAAGGAAAAAAAAAGTTCTAAAGAGTTCTCAGTAATATATTATACTAAGATACACATAATTGACTTGGACATTTTTTCCTGAAAAACTTTAGAGATACCTTGAAATACTAAAAATAATACAAATATCTGTTGGTCTGTCTCTTATGTTAAGGAGCATGGTATGGCAAAGGCTATGGTGTCAAATGAACCAGGGTCAAATCGTGGTTCCACTGCTTTGAAGCTGTGTGACCTTGTATACCTCACTTAACCTCTCTGAGCCTCAGTCCCTTCATCTATAGAACAGGGAAGAAAAAGGGTTCTTGCAAAGATTAAATGAGATAGTTTACAAAACACTAAGTACTGTGCCTGGCATAAAGGAAGTGTTCAACAAATGGCACCTTTTCCCATTATTAAAACCCTATAATCACTATTTTATTTTAAAAATAAAGATGAGGCAAAGCTTACCTCAGCCACAGTGAGGACACAATACACAGACTGATGTTCAGGGTCCACGCCTTCTAGTTTCATGCCAACTTTAAACCCATTTTTGTTATATGGAAAAGATTGATACTAAAATGTAAAATGACAGCAGTTTTAGTGAGTGATAATCATTCTTAAGACTATATAACCAAATCACAAACAGCTCCTGAAAATGCAGGAAAAAAAAAAATGGATCACCGAATCATCTCATGTGAAAACAGACAACGCAAAGAGGTGACAGAAAAGGAAATTCAAATGCTTTACATATTTGAAAAGATGATCAACCTCCCCCATAAGAGTCATACAAAGTAAAATTACAGTAAAATAGATTCCACCTATCAGACTGATAAAGATCAAAAAGTTTGGTTACAGTACACTAGCAAAGCTCTAGGGAAAGAGATGTATAAATACATTGCTAATAGGGATATAAATTTGTACAACCTCTAGCAATCTCCTGAGATCTATAAAAAAGAACATTCTCTTTGACTCAGCAATTTTAATCCTAGGAAATTACCCAACAGAGATAGCCACATATGTGCAAAATGAGCAATGTATGAGGCTATTCACTAAAGCATTTACTTAGCAAAAGACTCATGTATATATATTATATATTCCACATAATGAAGAAGGAAATGACAGCCCACTTCAATATTTTTGCCTGGAAAATTCCATGGAGAGAGGAGCCTGGCGGGCTACAGGCTATGGGGTTGCAAAGAGTCGGAGACGATTCAGCATGCTCGCAGCCCACATGTACATACAGTATTTCATCTTATGTCTGTCTCATAATAACTTACGCTGGTCTCTACTGCCTGACACGTGTGTGTGTAACACTCCTGTGATATATATATGACATACATATATGACATTTATGTCAACCACAGTATGGACCAGTTTATATTATTATGGAACAAACATAAGATGAAATACTATGTATGAGTATAAAAGTCTGATGAAGTGGGTAACTGAACTGAGATGGAATAATCTCCAAACTCAGACAAAAAAGCAAAGTTCAAAACAGTATGTGACATATGCCATCATGTGGTTTAAGGCAGGGGGAAGATTTGCCTATATATTGCTTATATGTACATGTAATTTTCTTATAGCACTTTCATATTATGAATCATATGAATGTACTGCTGATTCAAATAATTAACTCTATTTAAACTGTTTAAAGTGCAAAAAAGTGTATTATGCAAAGGACCAAAGTTGTGAAAAATAATTATACGGAACATGTCATATGCAATTGCTATTATATCTGAATTAAATAGTCAATGTAAATGTAATCATCCCAACATTTACTATTCACCACTTTTCAAAAAAAATTACTATTGAATATTCACCACTTCTCAGAAATGGCATGTTAATATGTATGTAACAAAGTATTGATGGCAGATTTATTATAAACCATGTGACATATAATTAAATCATTTAAATCAAGGGTCAGCGAACTACTATCTCTGGGACACAACCAGCCGACTGCTGTTTTTGTCAATTAAATTTTACTGGAATATCAGCCATGTTCATTCATTTATACATTGCCTGTGGCTGCTTTCATTACAAGAACAGAGTTAAGCTGTTACAAATGAGACCATATACCCATAAAGCCTACAAGATTTTCTCTTGCCCTTTATGGAAAAAGTTCGCTGATCCCTGGTTTAGCCCAGTGACAGCAGTTCCTACTCAGAACTACTTTTACTGATCTTAACTCACTTCTGATAAAATATTTTTACTAGAGTTAATATAACAATCTGTTTTTTTGATGTTCTGTTCTATCACGCAAACCTTAGTAACTCATTTTTATTCTCCCAAAGCCATGACATTTTATGCTAGTTTTCCTTTATCTACTAGTTTTTCAGTAGTAATAGAAGCATCCTTCTTCAAATCAATGCATGAAAGCCTAACATGTTGACAGAAAATAGCATCTGTGTGTATGCGTGTATTTGTATGTGTGCCCATGCATGTGGCCCGAGGTATGCATATATGACGATAGTTACCCTTAGAGGTCCCCCTCCACATATGAAAAACAGTATGTTTGAAAAATTATCCCAAGTCACATTTCCTAGACAGGTAGTAGAAACAGCAATACTAATTCCAGACCAGCATTGCAGCTCCTTTGCCCTCATGCACAATGCCTCCTAGAAGGGTCTGTACCTCCTTGAATAGCTTTGCCGGCACGGCCACAGCTTTCTCCTCTTCCAGGTAGGAGGCCCAGCACCACGCTTTCTTCCCTTTAGGGGGCAAACCTGAAAGGCAAGTGAGACCTGATAGAATTTCCAAATCTAGGAAATCAGAGCGGTACACTTACTGTGAACTCTCACTTCCCCAGCTACCCCCAGGCCTGGCTCTTCTCTTACTTCCACGGCTGAGATTTCTCAATTTCTCTTCCTGACTCCTCTTCTGAAGCAATGAGAGCTAAAAAGTAAACTATGTGTATATCCAGGAATGAGTGTAGAAAAAGGAACAGAAGAACTTAAAGTACTTTTAAGAACTTAAAGTACTTTATTTAAAGTAAATGATGGAGACGTAGGAGGAATCCAAGATAGACCAGAATCATGGAAGCTCAGCAAGTGAGAGTGTCTAGAAGCAGGATGCTCCAAAGTTTCTTCCTAATGAATCAAGAAGCTAAGAACTGAGAAAAGGTCAGTGCACAGAGTAACTTCGGGACTGGCTGCTAACTTGGAGAAAGAGGGAAAAAAAAAATCAATGCACCCAAGGCCAAATTTTAAGTTGCAAAAGAACACATAAATGATAAAGATACAGAGTCTACAGCAATTTTATTTGGGGTTAATTTAACAAAAAAATGAAAATGAAGAAGGGATATATAATGTTAGGCTTGATGGGCTTTAAAATTTAGGGAGAGATATTTGCAGATGAGCTTAGAACAAGCAATGACAAAGTTCATGAAGAGGAAGAAAACGGAAGACCTAAGAGAGGGAAATAATTGAAGCAACAAGGCCGCTGAAGGGCCAGAGACCCGAGAGAAGAAATGAAGGGGAAGGGACAGAAAGGACAAAGACATTTTTGAGGCAGAGTGCAGAGTAACTGAGAATTTACTTCCTTTAATGTCAGTGATGAAATACAGAAGGCCATCCAAATGTAAAAGTGACGCTGTGTGCCTGATGCAGGTAGAAACATCTCAAAGTGTTTTTAAGAGACAAACAAGGAGGAATGTGGTTCAGCCCTGAGGAGAAGCACTGGGTTCAGGCCCTGATTCACAGGACAGTGTGACTGGCAGGTCAGGACGGGACTGTGCATAGTGCAGAGACCTAACACGGAGACAGGCGGGCAGACCTGGCCGGTCCTTCGACACAGCCAAGCGGGGCACTCAGACGCTTCTGGGGAGACAGCCCAAGGTCTGGGATGAATGAGGCCGCGAGTTAACCCACCAAGTACTGAAGGGCAGGGCCTAAGTGCTAGATTCCTCAGAGAATAAAGTGTTCCTTGAGAAACAAAGAAAGGAGAAAAGGGTACCATGTCAGGAAGTTATGGTTGAGAAAAAACATTAAAAAAAAAAAATCTAAAATTTTATGAAATAAGTAAGACCAGAGGTTTTAGTCAAAGCACAGAAGTAAAAGAAACCTATTTGATGGAAAAATAAATAACAGAAAATGATCTCAAGTTTTCCCTGACACTGCTTGAAACTTGCTAATTTCCACTTTCCCCTCGCCCTTTTCTACTTCTTCTAAACTCCAACTTTTATTGACACAATTTAATCAAAGAAAATCCCCAAATGATCCTTTAACTGCCATAGTGTGCATTACAATTAGGACTAAAATGTCTGCCTGTGAAATATTTTCAACTTCATGAAATTACAAGTAAAGCTTCCTTTCATCAACTCACCCTGCTTTAATACAGCCGAATCACCTCGCCTTTTCCTTCGGGCTCTCTGCGAACCCCTCAGGATTCTCCCATCTTGTTTGTTTTCCTATAATAAGGCAGAAAAGTTTATGATTTTCAAAAGTTCATGAAATTGGCATCAATGAAAAGTTAGAGAGCTGTCAGAAAGCATTTTTTTGCACTGTTCTTCAGTTTCACTTCATAACTTTGAAAGAAAGTAAGAATATAGGTCACTTGAGAACTCTGTTGCTCTTGGCCTGAGGTCCTTACAAAATGAAAACATTTCCAAGAATCACACTCTGGTATAGCACAGATCCTGTTCCCACCTCCTTGAAACGCTTTCTTCTTTCAGCTCCTTGACCGCTCTGGTCTGGTTCCCCTGGTACCTCACCGCCCTCTTTCTTGGTCCCTTTGCTGACATCTCCTGCCATCCAATCCACTTGGACATCTAATAAGCATCTCAAATGCATGCTGGCCAAAGTACTGTAAGTTCTATACTCCACTCTGGCCTTCCCATCCTCAAGAAACGGTACGATTACCCAGTTCAAGCCAAAAAGCCAGGAGTTCTCTCTCATTCTTCTCTCTCCCTCACATACCCTGCCAACTCTGCCTTTAGCATCTTTCTCAAAACCACTGCCTTCTGTCTTAAACAGCCCTCTCAGTCTACTACAGTAAGCTTCCGGCTGGTTTCCCTGATTCTACTCTGTTCTCACATGTCAAAGCCAGAGTGATCATTTTAAAACACTCATCGTATCAAAGGATCCCCCTTGCCCTCTGCTCTCCAGTGGCTTCCCAGCACACCCAGAGTAAAGTGACAACCCATGACCCTGGTTTACCGTAAAGCCCTGGGCTGCGCACAACTCACCAGCCTCACCTTACTCCACTCTTCTCTAGCCTTCAACGCTCAGCAACCTTGTCTTCTTTATTTCCTTAAACAAAGCATGCTACACATGTTTTTACCTTACGGTCTTTTCCCCAAACAATTTCCACTGCCCTGCAGAGCTCCTTACTGCCAACTTTACATCAGCCTCCTTACCCAGATCATACTATCCAAGCCACCCTCCCTGGAAGGCCTCCTGATAACCCAGCTTAAAGCAGTTAGATTATCTCAATGCTCTATTGTACTTCTCATCATAGCGCTTATCACAGGCTGATATTTCCCCTAGTGGTTTACTATATGTCCCTGAGAAAAAAGATCCTGTCCTTCATCTTATTCATCCCTGCATTCCCAGCTCCTAAAACAGTGACTAACCAATAATCACTGCTCAATATTGATCTTAAGGAAAATGCTTTGAGACTTCAAAGTTGTCTTTTCATATAGAGTTACTAATAAATACTTTAGAGATGAGATGTCTATATTTTAATTAGCATATTTTGAATTAGTTTTCCCTAAATACATCTGACATTTATCTGCCATTTTCTACCTATTCGCACAGTATTATAAGATCTGTCTGTAATTTACCAAAATAAGATTGGCATTTTGCTGTCAAGAAGAATTTAAAGTTAATTTGCATAACTGAAGGTTCTGCCATTGACTCTCTCACACCAGCAATAAATCTCAGGACTTCCTACTTCCTCACCCTGAGGGAGGGGCACTATACCATTTATTGTTCTCATCTTGAGATGAGGACAGTGACACACACAGAGGGTCGGTGGGCACGCTGCTGATGGTAAAACAAGGTCACAGAAGCAGCACTGAAACCCTGCAGAAGGAGCAGCCCTGGGGGTACTGACCATCTCGTCATCTCGCTCTTCTTCCTCCTTGGAGTCAGCTTTCAGAGATAACTTTGGCTTCTTCTTCCTACTACACTTAGAATCTTCTTCCTCGTTGTCTTCTCCCATGTCCCTTTCTTCCTTCTGATCTCTGCTGAATTTATAAACCCAAAACAGTGACTAGGAAACAATACCCATCAAATATCTGCATGTTGATTAGCAAGGCAAAAACCTTTTAAAAATATTTAACCAGGAGGAGAAATGTGTATGTATTAGAATATCATAGAAAAGAGACACTTCAGACCAAAATCATGACACTGTCAAGTTAGAAAGTGGAAATTAGCTTACATATTAATTTATATAATTATTTATTGTAATTATGTAATTAATGATAAAACTTTAAAAGGGCACCAGTCCTACACGTGAAACATGTTCTAACAAGTTTAAAATTATTGGTTTTTCACAGCTACCATCCATACTAATAAAAGAATCGATTATTTGCAGCTATCCTAGTCTTTGGTGACAATTTTAAAGCAACTATCTAGCAATTATTGAGAATGCCAAGTTCAATCAAAAAAGGCCAAATGTAATTTGGTAAAATACCAGATGGCCAACAAAAACAGACAATTCCCCAGCCTGTGCTGATTAAATACTTGGGAAACTCCACTAGAACATAAATACCAAGTCATTTATTTGCAGTACACAAGTATATGCAGGAAATACACCTTGTTAGTGATAAGCTGACCTCATCAGGGTCCCCCAAGGCAATCACACCACCATCAGTCACAGCTGATGGCCCTGTCTCAGAATCCTCAGTCTGTCCTTAGAACCACAGAGGCACAATTACAAGACTCCTCACTATGGCCATTCCGTGCATGCTCAGTCAGGGGAAGCTGTATTTCATTCATGGAGTTTTAGCTGAATTACCAAAGAACTCCCAAAATTTAAACCCAAGTGCATTTTCACAAGCATCAGTATCACTAAAATGTGTATGTAGCCCAAAGAGATCTAAATACTCTTGGCTGGGGAGCAAATTAACGTAAACAAAAGACGAAAGAGGCCAAGATTGTATTTCAGGTAGGACATGAGCAGCATAACTGAACTCAGACCGAAACCGCCTGGTCCAGTAGTGGGATTAGGGTCCACGTGCCTCCAAAGGGGAAGTCTTCAGGGGTGGGATGGAGTTGCGGGGGGAGGCATTTGGATGACAGACGTCAGAGAACACTAAATGTCTCTATTCCCAAGCACCAGGCCGCTGGACTCTAAAACTCATTTTATAAATGGAATGTGGGCAAAAACCTACTTGTCTTTGATATGTCGAGCACAATTCTGGCTGCAGTAGTTTCCTCCAGAAAGACACTCATCTCCGTTGCCATACTGACAACAGTTCTCACAGAATTGAAGCCCTTCTACTTTCACTGGATCCTTCAACCTGAAAGGCATTCCAGTCTTCTCAGAAAAGACTAGAAGATGAAAAGAAGGGAAAAAAACTTAAAACCATGATAGAAATAGTGGTGAAATACATTTAAACTTTTTCTTCTAATAATTTTGTTAGCAACACAATAAAAAGGATAATGTTTGTTGAATGAATGAAGGAACATTGATCATTCCTTTGGGATGGAGAGGAGGATGGGCTTGACTGGGATCACTCAAATCATTTACATAACAAAAACATCTGTAGAAAAGACAAGTAAAAGCTTGTCTAATGCCTTTTCTACAGAGTTCAAAGTAAAATGAAGAAAATTTCATTAGTCACTAAATTCAGAAGATGAAATTGTCCATCCATAGAATCCGTTACAGCTGTTATCTTTTTGACAAAATTTAAAAAGAGTTATCTATGTTATATAATGTTTTTGATGAGTGACTCTTTTAGCTAATGGGCTGAATCAACATCTTTCCATTTTACTTTTAATGTAGCAGATCTCCTGAATCATAATTATCCATATTGTCTAGGAGTCTACATTCCCTTTCGTCTGAATCATTAGGCTAATCATTCATTCAGCAAACATTTATTAGGCACCCATTTATGCTAGACACTGATAATGACAGTACAGACCTTGCCCAAGAGAGCTCACAGTCTAGAAGAGAAGACAGGCAAGAAAACCAATGTTTATAATAAAATGTGATACATGCAATAATTGAAGCATGAACAAGTTTCAGAAGCAGTGCAGAGGAAGAAGTTTAGTTCGAGAAGAGATTTTCTGATAGAAAGCCTCAATAGGGTTTTGAAGGCCAAAGAGGAATTTACCAACTGGACAAAGAGAGAAACAGCATCCTGGCCAGAAGAAACAGTGTGAGCAAAGGCAAGAAAGCATGAAACCACATAGTCCTGGGAGAATTCTGTGTAACCCAGTGCTGCTGGCCCTGCCAGAACACAGCGTACAGAGAACAGAACAGAGAGCAAAGAGACAAAAGCAAGCAGGTGGGTGCGGGTCACCCAGATCTTTGTATGTTTTGCTAAAGAGACAACAAGAAGTTGGTGAAGTGTCGGATAAGCAATCTACATCAGTTCCTCCGACTTCAGTGTGCTGGGTAAACTGGGGGAGATCAGAAGCAAAGGAATTCTTTAAGAGGCGTCTGTAGTGTTCAGGTGAGAGGCGATAAGGGCCTAAATTAAGACAGTGGCAGTGATAATAAGCAGAAAAGGCCAGATCTGAGACATATTTAGGAAACAAAAACCAAGAGGATTCAATAACAGGCTATGGGGCTGGGAGAGACCAAATTCAGGATGACTCCTAGATTTCTTGCTTGTCCACTGGATGGATGGTGCTACCATCAACTGATATTACGGGCTACAGAAGAAAAAGCAGGTTGGGGGAGGGGAGAAAGAAATAGAAAATGAATCGCATTTTAGACATGTGGAGTTTGAGGTACCTGTGGGACATCCAGGTGGAGATGTCCAGTAGGCAGGTGGAAATACGGGCCTGGAGCTCGGGGGAGAGGTCGGGGCTGGAGATATAGATTTAGGAGTCATCAGCATATAGGTGTTAGTTAACAACCATCGGAGCAGATGAGAAAAAAGTGGCAGGCTTTTGGCTAAATCACCTGGGTAGGCTATTTCAACATGAATTTACTTGGCAATTTTCAATTAACCTTGCGCTATGACAGATCTGGCTTGAGGAAAGAAGACACTTTACAGTTATTTCAAAAATATTAAAGCTGGTTCCACATCAGTTTCATCATAGAAATTTACCTAAGAATATGTGACATGAAGATCACCCAGGATTTTCAAAGTTCCAGCCTATTATAAAACCTTAGATAGTCTTACATTAAAAACTCTCAAAAAAAAAAGAAAAAGAAGACAATGCAGATGACCCATTCTTACCTTCTTGAGCAGTTGGTACCATCCAAGTTGTAGTTGCTGTTGCTTTTTTAACATTTTCCATCTCACTCTCATCTGTGATAACTTCCAGGGCTCCAAACTCATTTACACGGAACTAGCAGCAACAGAAGAAAGAGGCAAAATTTATAAGTGCTCAGAACTGTCACCATTTAAAGGCTGGCACATAGAGTCTACATTTTAAGAGCTAATTTCAACAGTTACATTCAGATAAGCCCCAATTATATCCAGATAAACTCACTACCACTATGAAAACCTTTGCATCTAACAAATCTGAAATTTCGGGAAGAGGGAACAGAACAAAGCGGCAAAGCACTTAACAACACAAGGCACCACCTTTGCACTGCCCTGTGGAGTTGTCAGCTCACTCATATGGCTCGTAATTTCAAATACTTTTTTTTTTTTTGCTAAGGTTTTTTTTCACATTTCATATTACTGTTTATTTAATGATTAAAGTTAGTAAAAGCAGAATTACTGTTTTCCCAGGAATCAATTTGTCTCACCCAAGTTCACCTAGTTCAAAGAGCAGGAAAAATTACCATTTTAGAAATTCTGACTCGTACATCCAATCTCCGTATTCCAAGATGTGACGAAGGAAGGCTGACGCCTGAGTCATGGGACCACCCCCCAGCCAGGCTCTGTATTTCCTCTTTCTTTCACTGCTCTTTAGAATCCTCCATTATAGTCATTCACTTCTAGTCCTCCCAAACAACTGGCAATATCTGAGAGATCTGAACAAGCCTACTAGCCTCAGGCCAAGTTTATCACTAAAAAGTAAGGGCATTTTGATTTCATGGGTATTCTGGACCCCAAATATTGAAAATTTCCTCTCACCTCATCTCATGGCAAGCCTCAAACCAAATATTCTTCTGCAATCTCCTGGGCATACTATATTGAATCACACTAGGCATAATGTGTTGAAGGCTTTTAACCACTACCTGTGTGCAGGGGCCCCATCCTCTTTGAAACAATTAGGTTGACTCTCACATTCATGACAGTCAAAGTTATTCTGTATTCCTTCTGTTTTCCCATAAAACAGAATGACATAAGAGATTCACTAATTTTACCAGGGGACAAAGAGCTAGAAAGCTCACAATTCAAAAGGATCATAAAACATTGGCTTAAAGTTTTTAGATCGCTCCCAGAAATATATATGAACATGCAAATATGCAGTATTTAAAACGAGGCCTTCTATTTTCCAATCTAAAAGTCTATTTGGTCAACATGCCAACGGAATGATTAATTTTACCAAACTAGATTCAGGCTGCAAGTCAGAAAAATCTTCAGCCATATTTACAACTAATTATTCTTTCCACCAGGTGAAAATAGCACCTTAAACAATTTTCTGCATGTGGTCCACAATTATTAAAAGCCTTCTAAACAGAACAAGTGACATAGTTATGGAAAGTGAAAATGTTTTCTCCTTGTTATATATTTCAGATACAAGTTCCCAGGTAGCATGTATATACTAAACCTGTGGATTCACCTAAAAATGTCCATTTAAGAGGTGGTAAAAAGTCAATTGGGAAGGAAAGAGCTAAAAATAACTTCACTTGTTGGGAAAAAATAAAGTTTTAAATGATCAACTCTGAAACCAGAATATTTGAAAATAAAGCTGATAGTACCATCTACTGGGCAAGAGTAGAAAAGTCAAGCCATCATGATTATTAATTAATGACATTAAAAATGATGGTAGAAAATCAATTCTGAATGGAATTTTTTAAAACTGGCATTAGTCCAGGTAAGTAAGTTTACTTTTATTACATGATGATGTTAATTTAAGCTTTTTGACAAATATTAATACAAAATGTGGGAAACAGTACAAAACATTTACATTGCACAGAAAGTCTTCTGCGGCTCAAATTTCCAGACTGCTGCTGAACTACACCCTGGCGTTTCAAACACTGAGAAAGAGAGCGCAGCTGAATGGAATCTTCAAATCAAAATTCACACCTGTGACGCCTGGGAGTTTTAGACTCACTTTTAAAGTTAAAAGATAATATTCCCACAGAACAACATTTAATTCCAGTTATCTTTTCCTTTTAACAGTCACTGCCAGTAACTGACCTACAGTCTAAGGCACACAGTAAAGATGCAATGCACTAACAGTTAACTCCTGTAAGCCGGGGACCCACGGATAAATCACATGAAATAAATGCAAAATTATGGCTAAGGGCAGACACTGATTTATCTGTGGGTAGGGTTCATTAAGTCTAAAGGCATCCTATAACGCTGGGAAAAAAAAAAAAAACAGAACTCCTAAAGGAAAACAGGCAGAACACTGTCTGACATAAATTATAGGAGTATTTTGGGGGGATCTATCTCCTAACACAAAGGAAATAAAAGCCCAAAGGGGGGCACCTATTTAAATGCAAAAGCTTTACACAGCAAAAGTAATCATCAACAAAAGAAAAAGATAACCTACTGAATGGGAGAAAATATCTGCAAATGATATGACCAATAGGGGTGAACATCCATGTATCCAAACAGCTCATACAACTCAACACCAAAAAACAAACAGCCCAATTAAAAAATGAGCAGAAGAACATAATAGACATTTTCCAAAAAAGACATAAGAATGGCCAATAGACACATAAAAAGATGCTCAACACTGCTAATCATCAGGGAAATGCACATTTCCCTGTCATTCATTGTATGTATCATCACCTCACAACTGTCAGAATGGCCATCATGAAACTGGATACAAATAACAAATGTTGGCGAGGATGTGGAGAAAAGGAAACCCTCCTATACTCTGGTGGGACTGTACCTTGGTGTACTCATTGTGGAGAACACTATGGAAGTTTCTCAAAGACCTAAAAACAGGACTACCTTATAAGCCAACAATCTCATTCCTAAGAATATATCAAAAAAACCAAAACACTAATTTTAAAACACATATGCACCCCAATGATTATAGCAGCATTGTTTACAACTGCCAAGATATGGATGCAACCTATCAACAGGTGAATGGATAGAGTCCGTCAACAGATGAATGGATAAAGAAAATGTGATACACACACACACAATGGAATACTATGCAGCCACAGGAAGAATGAAATTTTGCCATATGCAGCAACATGGATAGACTTGGAGGACGTTATGATAAATGATACAAGTCAGACAGAGAAACACAAATATTTCATGGTATCACTCATATACAGAATCTAAAAATAACAAATGAGTGAATATAACAAAAAGAAACATACTTACAGATATAGAGAACAAACTATTTATCACCAGTGGGGAGAGGGGAAGGGGACAAGGCAACATGAGGGTAGGGCATGAAGAGTTATAAACCATTAGGTACAATATAAGCTATAGGGATATATTACACAACATGGGGAAACATAACCAACATTATTAATTATAAGTAGACTATAACCTTTGAAAATTGCAAGTCACTAAATTGTACACCTGTAACTTATAATAAAACATTAACCTCAAAGTATTTTTAAAGTATCCTATGATATGCTCAAAGTTTGAAATTGGTAACATTTAATGAATCGTGCTGGAACCATAGAAACTTGATAAAATCACTTTTTTCCAGGTTATTAGTTCTTTTAACCTAGACACCTTAAAAGCAGTATAAAAAATTAGCAACTGACTTCATTCTACAATCAAGAATGTAAAAATTACAAACTTTATAAAAGGGCTTTATAAAGCAAACCAAGCATATCAGTTGAGACTAACTTTTTCCGTTAGTGGATACATATAGGTCAATCAGAAAACAATTATGCCTGAAATATATAAAGGGTTGAGAAGGTTTTACTTGTTTGTCTTGGCTTAAGCTACCTTTGATTTATTCTCTTCTTTATTTTTGCTTATAGGGACAAAGAATCTTCAGCCTATTTGTGCCTGTCTTTAATAATAGATCATTAAAAGACACTGCTGAGATTACTGTTTTTTATTACGACACTGAAATAAATGTGAGTTCTACTTACCAATCTTTTTTAAGGGCAAAGATATTTAGTAACTAAACTGTTCTGAACGCCAGTCAAGACAAGGCAAAACCTGCACAAAGAGTGCAGTGAATTTTCCAGTTGGGTTTCTGCATCACTGCTGCTGGGTCTTGCTCCCTGTTAAGTGGCAACTATTCTTTCGAGATAAGATGCTATCACTGTCGGGAGTGTACCGACATTTTACTGAGGGATGCTGGAAGACTAAATCCTTATGACACAGAGGAATAATTCTCTGTGGATCAATTTCAGAAATCGTATAAGAAGTTTAGATAGAGAACTGCTTAGGGACAGCAAGCCCTATGGTGCATCTTTCCACTGGCCTCACCACTTAAGTCACCTGCCTGCTCTTATAGCTGGCCCTGAGATTTAATCTACAAACACTGAGGTGCATTTTAAAGGAACAAATTAGACAACAGTAAAGTTTCCAAAGCTTGTTTAAGTGAAAATGTCTTGTTAATGACTACAAGAGGACCAGCGGACACTTCCTGGTCTCCCAGAACACTGGACTTGCTGACGCTGACCCCCTTTCTGAACGTCCCTCTTTCTCCCTTCTCCCATCCCCATCCCCAAAAGTCCTCACAGACTCCTACCTATTTTCAGGCACCTAAAAGCTCACATGACATCTGCTTCCAAAACCCTCCTGATCCCTCCAGCTAACATAATACCACCTCTAAACCACTGCTAACATTTTCCTTTCATCTCTTTTGATATGAAAACATTTCTCTTGTTAGACTGTAGAATAACAGTGTAAGAGGATCCATTTTAAAATAAGAAAAGCCTGGTTTTAAGACCCAGTTCCACTAATAACTACCTGTTTGACCTTGAGCAAGTGACATTAACCACCCCAGGCCTCTGTTTACCTCACCTGTAAACTAACATCAGTGACAGAAATGGCCTCAAACAGGTTAAATAAGTGACTTAAAGTAAAAGGCGGAGGGCCAATCCCCGATGGCTCAGTGAGTGGGTAAAGAATCCACCTGCAATTCAGGAAACACAGGAGACACAGGTTCCATCTCTGGATCGGGAAGATCGTCTGAAGAAGGAAAAGGCAACCCAGTCCAGTATTCTTGCCTGGAAAGTCCCATGGAGAGAGGAGCCTAGCAGGCTACACGGCCAATGGGGTCACAGAGCCAGCCACAACGGGGCAACTACACACAAGAAACGAAGAGCTCCTCTGTTCTTTCTGCCACTGCACCCAAAAAAGGAGCTTTTGCACTCTGCTTCCTAGAAGGGCTGGTTAGCCCAGTGGGAAGTGGGGGGGGTGGGGACTCCAGCAGCAGGGACCAGTAAAAAGGGAGCAAGCTGTGAACGAGTTGCCTGGGCTGGAAAGGAACTGGGGTGGCATGGAGATGTGAAACAAGATGCAGCTGGAGAGAGAAGCAATGGTCAGACCACCAAAAACCTTCGTGGTGAACTTAAGGGGTTTGAACTTTATCACGAAAGATACAGGAAACTGCTAAGGATTTTAAGCAGAAGAGTGATGTAACTTGATTGGCCAGCAATCGTGAGGCTTTTACAAAGAAAAGCTCTTTCAAAACGGCAATAAACTGAAGCATATAAAAACCTGTTCCCATGGAAAGAAACTGACTTCTATGTATTTCCTGAATTAACTTCAGCTGGTTGTCTTAGTGATCATGCATTAGAAAGCCACACGCTTTCGTCCATTAAAAAAAAGAGACGCTTCTAGGGTCAAATAGGCAAAGTATGATGTGGGAGAGTAAATTTCATTGATTTATTTAAAGTTCTTTCCAATAACTTAATTGTGAAAAATAAATTTCTCAATCAGATCTCCTAAGCAACTCAAACTTTAATATGAAGAGCAAGTGAGTCCTAAGCAATATAATCAACTGGTGAGTCTTTGACTCTCTTTGGATAAAAGCAGTTCTAAAGTAGAAAATGTTCTTTAAATTATTTTTTTTAAGTGGGGTATCAAACTGTCAACAGCACATAAAGTAAACTGGGTACATGGCAATTACCCAGGTAATTAGATGAGTCTAAAAGTCAAATCAAATAACCTAGTTTATAATACCCACTAAGTGGCTTAATTACCTGATTACCTTTATAAAAGTAATAGGTTAATTCCTAAAATCCATTGCTTAAAAAACCTTCAGGCAAACTAAATTTCTCAGGGATGGAGACGTCACTCTATTATCAAAATCTAACTGAAAAAAAAATTATAAATTTCATCATCCACCTGACACACATACAAAAAGCCATTCAGAAGAAAAAGGATAAAAATGTACAAGAAAAATAAGACTCGGAAACAATAAAAAAGGAAGTTAACATAATACACCATAAAGCAAGAAAAGATAGAATTTGTTAATTTTTTTACATGTATTTTTTTTAAATCCTTATAACCAGCTTATGACATAGATCCTACATCCCCATTTTACAGATAAATATTCTGAAGTTCAATTTAAACAAAGCACATTTAGCTAATATGTGGTTGACAATATCAGAGCCTCTAACAGCTGCTCTTTCTGAAAAATTTCAGCACTCTATTTTCATCATATCTAATCCAGATGAACATTTGGAGAATGTTAGGGCAGATAAAATCCTTGGTATTCATTTAATTCCTTATTTTACCAAAGAGGAAATTGGCCCCAAAGAGATTAACTGACTTGTTCAAGGTCACAGAAAACTAACACTAAAAACCAGATCTTCTTTCCAGATTTCACTAAACCTCACTGCAACATTTTTGTTAAACTAAACTCAGATAGATATGTTGGCACACAGCACTTAATTAAACCTAAACCAACTAAAATCTAAGTATTTTTCCAACAACAAGCAGACTGTCCAAATCTCACCACTGAGGATCAACTAGAAAAGTTTTGGCTCAGATACTTGTCAAGTAGCCACTAAAAGGGAGCAGATTCCAAGAAGTCAATATTAGGGTGCATGAATTTCTAGTCAAGACAGGCAAGAAAGACAAGCATTAGCAAGGCAAGCCAAGAGACAGCCAGGGAGATCAGAAGTTCAAACACCTAAGTGACCAAGTACAAACACAAAGTCTAAAGGGCCACAGACAGGTTCAAGGTCCCAGAGATAGGATCAGAGCAAAAGCAAATTAGAAATGAGAGGTGGGTGCTTGCACAACCCTGCTCCATGGGGCAGCAGGTGTGGTCCTGGAGTGGCTCAGGCGGGGGCAGGAGGTGCTGGGGAGAGGGGGCAGGGTGAGCACCTAGCAAAGGAGCAGACTGAAGCACTGCTCTCTGAAGAGAGTTCTCATTTTTACAAAAGCAGTCTCATTTACAGGAAGCACCAGCTTCCGAACAAGTGATTATACAAAAATCCATATTCACAGTTTACAGTATAAATAATTTAAGGGAGGTGAACAGTCCTGTTTATTCAGTATTTTAGCTTTATCCAGTTTTTACATTAAAAAACTAGGACACAGGGAGTGTAGCTTTTCACTTCAGTTACAAAGCCCATCACTACAAAACATACACAAAGCCAGGCCTTCTACCACTCTTAAAATTTATTAGCCATAGAAATCCTGAAACGATCTTCCTTGAAACTATACATTAATTTCTACAAAATGAGTACAGATTGCAGAAGGATTTCTTAGTCCCCCACCCCAAATGACAAAGGCATCTGCCAATCCACCAGCAGTGTATCATCTTGAGAGGCAGAGGAACAAATATATAAAACTATAGCCACTGTGCTTCAGTAAAGAATTCGCCTGCAATGCAGGAGACATCATAGATGCAGATTCAATCCCTGGGTCAGGAAGATCCCCTGAAGGAAGGCAAGGCACTCCAGTAATCTTGCTGGGAAAATCCCATGGACAGAGGAGTCTAGAAGGCTACAGTCCATAGGGTCGCAAAGAGTCAGGCACCAGCGAAGCAACTGAGCAACCTGCACATACCTATGCTTAAGGCTTTTAATCCATATGTCACATATGTGCTCAAATTCATTTTAATAAAAAACACAAACAGATATACACACATATACAACTGTATGCAATACAGACAGCTTACCTTTAAGTCACTTCCTGGTAATGTACCTACTCCATCCTTCCAATCCATAACACTGAATACATCAAATTCTTGACCACTTGTGCTAGAGGCAGATTCAGTCATGATTTATTTTTTAACCTGGAAAAGGAAAAAAGGGCATAGTACCACATAGTCTACATACAAATCAGTTCTTATTTCAGTGGTCATTCCTTCAGTTTCCCTTAACTACATAATTTTCTTGGTCACAATGTTCCACATCCAGAGATTTAGAAATAACTGCTTCAGAAACATTTTTTTTGAGTGCAATCTAAAGTATATTACAGGAGAAAATAAGTTCTAGTTTAAACAAAAAGTACCATGGTAAACCTTTGCAACTGTTAGAAAAGGAATTCACTGTTTCATAGCATACTCACTTAAAACAAAAAATCTTGATCACAAAAGGATAGAACTCTTCATCCTTTAAGTTTTTTCTCCCCCCTCTAAGACTTTGAAAAGAGAGTAGATGTGCATAAAGGAGAGTGCCCAATATAAAATGTTGAAAAAGAAAAGAGAGGCCATTTAGATTTTAAAAAAAGAAGATAAAAAGAACAAGAAAATTCAGTCCATTATTGAATGCCATCTACACTAAATTTGTTAATTAAGTCTGTTCTATCAACACAACGAATACACAGTGTGATTGATTCAATAAACTTATTTATTTAATTTAGTTGAAACAGCTGCCAAACTGATGTGCTTAGAAATAGGAAAACAGTCTCAAAATGTAGAGCAAATGTAACAGGACTATGTTAAGATAACCAGTTTGGGTAGCTACACCGGGATAAAACTTTTAACTTTCATTTTTTTAAAAAATTCAAGAACAAACTTTTCTATAATCATATAGCCACTGGTGGCAGTACCGATAGTTATTCTGAGGCTGTGGTCTGTGTGGTATGAGATAAAACAAGTAAGTAATTACATTGGTGTCACTGACAAGTGGTCAAAGATCAACGGGTCCTAAATCTGAATGGAAGTATCATTATGATTTCATGAGGCACTTTGTTTTAGAAACATGCATATTTTCTCGCTTTGCCCAGACAATCGCCTAGTGTTCAGACTGTAGTCTCTAAATGCCATTTCTTCCAGGTCTTCCCAGAGGAGGAGCTAGCTGGCAGCAGGAAGTGTGCAAGATGAATCAGGAACATCTTATCAAATTAAAAAGCAAGGAAGCTATCAAAGACAGCAGAGTTCACACCAAAAGGACTCAGAGACCAATCTGAAAAGGCTTCTGTTAGCCGAAGTAAGGATATTAGCTGCAGTGACCTGAAATACATCAAGTAAGTTTAAATTATTATTATGAGTTCACAACGATATTCAAAACCAACCAATCAAGAACTCCCTGTTGATCTCCTTTTGAGAATAAAAGGGAACGACTAATTCATTACTGGGAAAAAGAAACAAGGATTTATCCTATTATCACGTGAGATCAGTAAGAACTATATCTCAGGGAAACCAAATCATTGGTGAAAGAAAGCTTCCTTTTAGAAAAAAATTCTTGGTAATAAGAAGGAATGATGAAACTGAAACATAACCATTTGCAACTTTTAAAATACTGGCTCTAGACAATGACCATCAACCTTCTAAGAATACCTACCAAGCCAACACCATCTATGAAGCAGTCTTGCCAGGAAGAAATTATATCAAATCTGATGTGATCAAGTCTGTTCATAGGAAATACCATAGACAAAAGAATATGTGAAATCACACCAAAGAGATATAAGAAGCAAGACACACATTGTGCTGGGGACTCCAAGAGGTCCAGGAAGTCAAAATCATTTTCATGAAAATACTAGCACATTATTTGCCTTTTTCACTATGCTGATGTTTACGCTGGTGGGCCAAAGCAACAGTGGATAAACCTGCTGCAGCAGAAGCACCTAGCTACAGCAGGAGTCACTTCATTCTTCACCACCACACACCCACAGTCAACACATGCAAGACTCACGAAAGACCGTCTCTGATGAAGCAAAATAATACACTGTATAAAGTCTTGATATTTGAATACATATATCTTTTTAATATTCTGTTTGATGGAAGAGGAGGACGCTCACAGAGCTTAGGCATGCCAAAGTACGTGGCTACATCTCCAGGGAAAGGAGACGCACGCTGAACAAGCTGGTTTTGGTGCTTTTGTTTTTTGAGTCCCACTTTTCCTTTAAAAATTATGTTTAGTCAAGTTTGGATATCTGGAAAACACATTGTCAAAAATAAATGAAAAGGGTTTCTCATGTGAAGGAAAATACTGACAGCATGTCACTAATGATAAAATTTGAGCACTTTGGAAAACCTGTATGCACCACCATGAGCCTGACAGCTTCCCAAGAGCTATAGACTCTTCCAAGAAGATGGATGGTGATATTCATGAATATGACCTTTAAAGATACTTAATAATGAAATATGTCATAACTCAGTTAGGCAGTATTTTCCAAACAACCAATGCTTAAAGTTACAAAAGTATGTATGCATGGTTAAAGGGTCCATTCAGAATGTAGGACAGGCCAATGTGATTTTAATGTAACAGAGTACAGAAAACTCATTGATAAGATTTCAAATCGCACACTGCAACTAACCTTTAAGAAACTACCACATGTCAAGTTTTGGTATAATATTAAAGAATATCCATCATTAAATGAAAAACTTAAAATATTCCTCCCTTTTCCAACTCCATACCAGTGTGAAGGAGACTTTCTTCACATGCTTCAATCAAAATAATATATTGCAACTGACAATGCAGAAACTGATGGGAGGATTCAGCTGTCTTCTATGAAGCAGACCGTACAGAGATTTGCAAAAACGGAATACAGCGCTACTTTTCTCGCCTTTTCTTTTAAATTTTGGAAATTATCATTATATTTCATAAAAAGTGCGCTTGTATATACTTAGGTAATCAATTTACCATTGTTATAAGTAATAAATAACCAATATATTTTAATTTCTAATGCAGTAAATATTGATAAGTGTAACACATACAAACAATAGGTCTTTGGGTTTTTCATTGTTTAGAGCATAAAGGAGACTTGAGACCCAAAAGTCTGAAAGCCACTGCTAGACAAGATTAAAGAGTTGTTTTCTGCACATACACAAAAAAAATTTTTTTAAGGAATGATAAATAAGCAAAGAGGAAATTTGAAATTTAGATTGAGACATATTAACCAATCATATTCTGCATTTCATATATCTGGTTTCAACCCTGATTTAAATTATTTTTTAAAAAAGATTATTAGGTAGGAGGGGAAATACGAATACCAACTATTTGATGATATTAGGGAAATACAGTTGCTTTTTTTAGAGAGATGATGACACATACTTTAAAGAGAGGAGGCCTTCCATGTATTTTTAGAGATACAAATCAGAATTGTGAGATGAAATGCTACAAGGTGAGGAAGTTGCTACAAATTAAGCGGTAAAGTGGTGAAACAAGACTGGCAGCATGCTGGGAAACTGCCAAGAGGAGTGAAGGGTCCAGAGCAGTTACTGTACTGCATCCTATACATCTTAAACACTCAACAGAAAAAAACCCTGTATTTCTCTGAGTTATAATGTGAGCTATAGAGGCTTAGCATTCATGTATGCAAGTTGTAAAGGCCTGAGAAGGATCCATCTAAAAAGCAGTAAAAATAAGAAATAAATTAAGACTCATACTGATGTTCTCTATGACTCCTACCTCACTAAATAAACAACAGTAATGAACCTGACTTCCCTATTAAATAATGTAGGAGTGGCAACCTTTTCCTGATAGAGTGATAGTGTAATTTTCCCCCTGGTGGATAAACGAGGTAAAATCTGAGTTTTCAAAAAGAAACATTTTAAATTTATTAATTCAATCTCACCTTTTTCCAAAAAAGGATTCAAAGCATTAGATAATTTACAAAAATTATTTCATTTCTTTCTTTCTCACAGAAAGATGGGTTCTATTATCCCTCTAGTTGATGGAGAAAGTGAGTTGCAGAGTTCAGTAATTTACCCAGAACCATATTTGGTGACACAGTCAGGATTGAACCCAGATCATCCTGCTTCTGACCCTGGTGTTTTTCTTCAACCACTCTCTTTTCCTGTCTCAAAGTCTTATCCCTTCTGAGAATCTGGCTAAGAAAATTTTTCCTTATTTTACTTTCTGGAACAAGAAAATCCAGAAACCAGCTTACTAGGTCCAAAGTTCTTGATGTATATAGATTAGTACCACATGTATCCTTTTAATAAAATGCCATCAAATATATGCTTATTAACAAAATGTCACTGAGACACATATACAACACATAGATTTCTGGTCTTTTCCAGCTAAAACCCATAAATGTATGAAATTTACACCAGCAAAATCCTGTCTGTGACTAGGAGGAGGAAGAGAAAAAAAAGAGAAATCTAAAAGCTATCACTGTACAAAGGCTGCAGTAAATGTTTATTATATATTTTAGGAAATAGCATACAAAGTACTAGTAATGTTACATAGTATATTCTGCCTATAAGCACATATCTAACATTTATAAAAATTGTTTTCATCCACTGTCTCATTCTAAGGTTTATGGACATTTTGTATAAAATATTATAGCATAAAAATATTCACTACCTTCCTTTCCTTTATCTAATTTTGAAGTCACTGGCTACTTTCACTATCACATAAATTATGAACAGCTAGTATAGATTAGGCATTTTTTCCACCATCTCCCAATCAGGTAGAACAACCAGAAGCCAATATTATTTTAACAGAAGCTGTTTTTATGACACCTTTTTCCTCTTTTTCTGTCTTCTTTAAGTGTGTGATCTTGTATACAAACATACACAGTCTTTTCACACCAACAAATTATGCTTCTAAGAGTTAAGCACATTTTTTTAGTACTTAGAAATGCTATCCTTTATATTTTCTTTAATTATCATCTGGCACTATCCCATCATCTCATGTGTAACCTGTATTCCACAGGCCTAAAAACCAGGTAGGTTAAGTCACTCACCATACAAGCAGTATTTCTCATTGTGCAGAAGCACACTCCAAATCTCGTTAAGTCTGCTGAGATTGCCTAAGGCCGCACCTTAAATGTGTACCATGATGGGTCCTCTGTGCTATTAGCCAAGGTCTACCGTTTTTCTCCAGTGCATGCATGTTAAGC